AACAAAAAAAACTTGAATATTTCAGGATTTAAAAAAAGGTACATTTACGAAAAAAAAACACAAATTAACAAGAACTTTTGTTGAATATTTCCATATTTTAGGTGGTTCATTTACAAGAAAAAAACCCCAGAAATGAACGTAAAGATTTACAGATTTTAAGAGAATTATTGGCGAGAAAAATAAATGAAATAACTGTTATATATTTCGAAGTAATGAAGTGGTACATTTCCACAAAAAATAGATCACAAATGATCGAGAATTACATTTCCGTCCATTCACTGATGGAAGAGGTGCATTTATAAGAAATACTTCAATATTCTCCACGATTAATGGGAGCAGTATGTTAACACGATATTTTATTTGTAATGTGGTGTACCTGTAGAGGGCGGGGCACTCGGAGCCGTCCGGTTCCTGCGGTTCCTCCGGAGGCATGATGAAGACGGTGTGTTCTCCTCCGTGAGACTCGTCCAGGTCGATGAGACGCACCTCCTCCGGTTTCTCCACGTCCGTCTGAAGAGATATCACACCAAGAAACATGAGAAACACACTCAAAGAGTCCTCTCCTGCTGATGTTCAGGTGTATATCAGTATGTAGTGTCTCTACTTTAAAGAGTCCTCTCCTGATGATGTTCAGGTGTATGTCAGTATGTAGTGTCTCTACTTTAAAGAGTCCTCTCCTGCTGATGTTCAGGTGTATATCAGTATGTAGTGTCTCTACTTTAAAGAGTCCTCTCCTGCTGATGTTCAGGTGTATATCAGTATGTAGTGTCTCTACTTTAAAGAGTCCTCTCCTGCTGATGTTCAGGTGTATATCAGTATGTAGTGTCTCTACTTTAAAGAGTCCTCTCCTGCTGATGTTCTCGTGTATATCAGTATGTAGTGTCTCTACTTTAAAGAGTCCTCTCCTGCTGATGTTCAGGTGTATATCAGTATGTAGTGTCTCTACTTTAAAGAGTCCTCTCCTGCTGATGTTCAGGTGTATATCAGTATGTAGTGTCTCTACTTCAAAGAGTCCTCTCCTGCTGATGTTCAGGTGTATATCAGTATGTAGTGTCTCTACTTTAAAGAGTCCTCTCCTGCTGATGTTCAGGTGTATATCAGTATGTAGTGTCTCTACTTTAAAGAGTCCTCTCCTGCTGATGTTCAGGTGTATATCAGTATGTAGTGTCTCTACTTTAAAGAGTCCTCTCCTGCTGATGTTCTCGTGTATATCAGTATGTAGTGTCTCTACTTTAAAGAGTCCTCTCCTGCTGATGTTCAGGTGTATATCAGTATGTAGTGTTCTACTTTATAAGAGGTTCCTCTCCTGCTTGATTGTTCAGGTGTATATGTCAGTATGTAGTGTCTCTACTTTACAAGAGGTCTCCTCTCCTGCTGATGTCAGGTGTATATCAGTATGTAGTCGGTCTCTACTTTTAAAGGAGTTTCCTCTCCTGCTGATGTTCAGGTTGTATATCAGTTATGTACAGCCCCCCGAGTCTCTACTTTAAAGAGTCCTTCTCCTGCTGATGTTCAGGGTGTATATCAGTATAGTAGTGTCCTCTACTTTAAAGCGTCCTCTCCTGCTGATGTTCAGGTGTATATCAGTATGTAGTGTCTCACTTCAAAGAGTCCTCTCCTGCTGCTGTTCAGGTGTATATCAGTATGTAGTGTCTCTCCTTTAAAGAGTCCTCTCCTGCTGATGTTCAGGTGTATATCAGTATGTAGTGTATCTACTTTAAAGAGTCCTCTCCTGCTGATGTTCAGGTGTATATCAGTATGTAGTGTCTCTACTTTAAAGAGTCCTCTCCTGCTGATGTTCAGGTGTATATCAGTATGTAGTGTCTCGACTTTAAAGAGTCCTCTCCTGCTGATGTTCAGGTGTATATCAGTATGTTGTGTCTCTACTTTAAAGAGTCCTCTCCTGCTGATGTTCAGGTGTATATCAGTATGTACTGTCTCTACTTTAAAGAGTCCTCTCCTGCTGATGTTCAGGTGTATATCAGTATGTAGTGTCTCTACTTTAAAGAGTCCTCTCCAGCTGATGTTCAGGTGTATATCAGTATGTAGTGTCTCTACTTTAAAGAGTCCCCTCCTGCTGATGTTCAGGTGTATATCAGTATGTAGTGTCTCTACTTTAAAGAGTCCTCTCCTGCTGATGTTCAGGTGTATATCAGTATATAGTGTCTCTACTTTAAAGAGTCCCCTCCTGCTGATGTTCAGGTGTATATCAGTATGTAGTGTCTCTACTTTAAAGAGTCCTCTCCTGCTGATGTTCAGGTGTATATCAGTATGTAGTGTCTCTACTTTAAAGAGTCCTCTCCTGCTGATGTTCAGGTGTATATCAGTATGCAGTGTCTCTACTTTAAAGAGTCCTCTCCTGCTGATGTTCAGGTGTATATCAGTATGTAGTGTCTCTACTTTAAAGAGTCCTCTCCTGCTGATGTTCAGGTGTATATCAGTATGTAGTGTCTCTACTTTAAAGAGTCCTCTCCTGCTGATGTTCAGGTGTATATCAGTATGTAGTGTCTCTACTTTAAAGAGTCCCCTCCTGCTGATGTTCAGGTGCATATCAGTATGTAGTGTCTCTACTTTAAAGAGTCCAGCGATATTAAAGTGAGTCACGGTGGTATTCCCGACCTTTTGGACGCACTCGTCGAAGAACTCGAGGCAGGCGTGGCGGTCGCTGACGAAGGAGCACTCCTCGACGAACTGCGTGAACATCTGGGTCCTCGTCAGCTGGCCGTAGATCTTCTGCTGCGTTCGGTCCCGAGACTTCAGGAAGCCTGCAGAGTAGAAACCATCCTGTCAGGTTATAGTGCGGGAGAGAAAGTCCCTCTGGAGGGAGCACAGGGACTTCAGCCTCTGCAGACCATTGACATGCACTGACACCGGGGGAACAGAAAGTCTCTCTCTCTGAACATTAATAACACAGATTAATTAAATTAATATAATACATTTAAACATCATCAAATATGATGTATATATAAGATATATAAGATGTAGGCAATGCAGCTCTATATGTATTCCAGAGCAGTATTTTTACTTTTTACTTTTCTCTTTTAAACCTTTGAGGATATTTATGATTGAGTTTTGGGAAGAATTGTTTGTGTACAGGTTCAAAAGTTGGGCATTGTGGAGGAAGAGCTCTGTCTCCACAGCAGTTCCTCACTCTGTGGGCATGATCGCTCCTCTCTTGGCAGCCATGTTGTCTTGTACCTGTTTCTATGGCCAGGCTGTGTCTCTCTCTCTCTGTCTCTCACCTGTCTCTCACCTGTCTCTCTCTCTGTCTCTCACCTGTCTGTCTCTCTGTCTCCCTCTCTGTCTCTCTGTCTCTCACCTGTCTGTCTCTCTGTCTCCCTCTCTGTCTCTCTGTCTCTCACCTGTCTGTCTCTCTGTCTCCCTCTCTGTCTCTCTGTCTCTCTGTCTCTCTCTCCCTCTCCCTCTCTGTCTCTCACCTGTCTGTCTCTCTGTACCTGTTTCTAAGGCCAGGCTGTGAGCACTCTACTTTGTCAGCATCCTCCTGTGTGTAACATCAGTCCCTGTGCTCAGGCTGCCAGTGTGCTGTCTTTGTAGGGCCAGGTAACACTGCATTTTACTTTGTGTTTGGGATTCAGTGTTCCAATAAGTGAGGTCGTTTTTTGTGTGTTTTGTTATAATCTGGTTGACTCTAATACAGTGGTTCTCAACTGGTGGGTCGCGACCCAAAGTGGGTCGCGGAGAATCCCCCCAGACCCCCTGCTGGGGTTGGGGTTTTCAGCATGTGTGCCTTTTTATATAGTTCAGCTTTGATTCCATCATCTCATTAAACCTTTTTTAAAAGCATACTTTAGTTCTGTGAAGGGATATAAGGGATATAAGCACTGTACTTCACTTTTATTAATATTGTATGCTCAAAAGCGTATATATTACAGCACGATTTTTTGTTGAATAGATTTGAGTGCTTCAAAATGTTGGGTCGCGATGTATTGACCAAGTAAAAAGTGGGTCCCGAGGCCTGACCAGTTGAGAACCACTGCTCTAATAGATGTGGGCTCAGACTGGTCCTGATGACAGTCTGAACCGGTTTGTGAACAGAGTGTCAGGACCAGCTGAGAGAGGGGACTCTTGTTCATCTCTTCATGCTGCAGGGCTTTGTGGTGGTAGGAGTGGGGCTCACTTTCTTTTAGATGTAGCCAATATTTAATTGATCGTTTCTGGATTTTTATTAATAATGGGAAGGTGCCTAATTCCGCTCTGCAGGAGGATGCGGTTGCAAAACTCATTGTGAGCATTTTCAATTGGATGATTTTCCCATTTGTCAAACGTTTGCTTTGTTTGAGGGCCTTTGCTTCCATCGAGTAGGATGGGTTGAGTTACTGATTAAAGTCATTTAAGCCCAATTACAATTTGAATGTGAATTTTCTCTCTCTCTCTCTCTCTCTCTCTCTCTAATTCATAAAATACATTAATAGGAAAGAAAATATGATATATATATCAGATATATAAGATGTAGACGGAGACAAACTGTCCTGCACCAATGCAGCTCTCTTCATATTTTCTCTTTGGAGGATGCTTGTGACTGCGTGGCCTCTCACCCTGCAGGTTGAAGAGCGAGCTGCAGTCGGTGGTGGTGTCAGACGGGGCCTGGGTGATGGGCAGCAGGAAGGAGCGGTACCCTCTCAGCAGGACGCTCATGAAGCGCAGGAAGGCCTCCTGGATCTCCAGCTCCAGCTGCTTCTGGCTGCGGTAGATCTGATCGTAGTCCGTCAGCAGGAACTCCAGCGTGGCCTCCTCCTGGCCGGGGGTGCAGACTGCAGGGGACACGGGAACCTGTCATTACAATATGCTCCTGGGCCCAGAACTCTGACCCAGAGACTCACATCCATACTTTATATTTTTCAAATCATCTTACTCACGTTGAAGTGTGAAGCACTTTGAGATGACGCTGTTTTTAAAGTGTGCTATATCGTGAATAAATTGTATTATTATTATATAAATACTTTCTAACCCTTTTACTTTAGTATTTGTACACTGTAGTACTGCTAGTTTTACTCAAGTGAATGATCTGGCTATTAGTCTGAACTCTTGTATTTATCCAAGTCAAAAGCTCAACACCACAAAATACAGATCATTAACTCTTACACACAATATCATCATGAGTCACACGGAGCATATTGTTTCACTGTTTAAACACAGAAATAATATACAGTATAAATCCCCTCTACATGATATATAACTGAAGTGTGTTTGTGTAAATCAGTGTTTCTCAAACTTGTTCATACCAAGGACCACCTAACTCCACAAATATCCAAAATCACATCGTTTCTCTAGAACAGATTACAAATCGCCTGAAAATGGAACAAACAGGTGGCAACATGTGTGAGGAAGGGGTTGCGCTGGGCTATATCAATTGAAAGTGAAACTTAAACTCGCTCCTTTGCGGAGATATTCCCGCGAGAGTGCGGAAAACTCTAATTAATTAATTAATTTCTAATGTGAAATGTTACCAATATACTCACGGACCACTAGGGGGCGCTCACGGACCACACTTTGAGAAGCACTGGTGTAAATGATTAAAGCTCAAATTCTGTTGGCGTCAGCTGACAGAGGTGTTAGGATTCATCTTGTTCTGGAGTTGATTCTTCTCTCAGAGCTAAATACACGGGGTGTTTCTCAATGTCGAGTAAAGCTGCTCCGAAGTACTGTTCCAATCTCCAGCATACTTGGAAATCTACCGAGCCCGGCGTACTCCGTTTGGAGAAACATCGAGGCTGAACATGAGTAGACTCCGCGGTCTTAAAATCCCCACAATGCTTTGCGCACGGACCAATTTCCCCAAATCTGTGGCGGAAGATGTAAGAGGCGGGGCCTCTCATATGACGCACACCTGCACACTTGCTAGCCTGTTCCACTCTTCGTTTTCCGAATGCCAGGAAGTATTCTTGACTCGCTTCTGAAGCAAGTGACTCGGAAGACATGTGCTACCAAGCAAGCGTACTCAAGATTGAGAAACACCCATGGTGTCTGGGGTAGAGATCTTCAGAAACACAGAACATGTTTTGTTCTCCGGCCGAAGCTCCAAATAAACCGTCAGTGTTTCCATCAAAGTTCCTGCTCTCTCTCCGTGTCTCTCTGAGTCTCCATTGATGCAGAAGTTTCCATCACACAATACACTTCCTGTTTCAGTTAAAAAGTAAAGCCCTCTAGCGAGAAATTCATGATGGAAAAACTGACATATCGACTGAGACTGCAATGTGAAGAGAAATGGGAGAAATGGTCAATGTTTAAGATTCAAACCAGCGACAAAGATCCTGACTGAGAGGAACCGTTCTGACGAATGGTCAAATGAGAGCGTGACCTTTTGTTATATTTTCCATCCTCCCTGCGTGTCACTCACTCTGCTCCAGCGTCTTGTGCAGGTTGGTCAGCGTGTTGAACAGCGTCTTGCCGGGTTTTCTGGGTAAAGATCGCCATGACAGCGGCTTCTTGTCGTCTGACCTGAAAAATAAAAGTTAAATAACTATATTTTTATTTAAATCGCCAAAAAAACCCAACTGATCAGATCCAGAAAGTGGCTGCCCTCCTTTATTCACTTGGAACTCCCTCAGTGGGCTCTTCTCCTCAGCGCTCTGGTTGCTCTTGAATGGTATATTGGTTTACTAAAAGGCAGTTGTTTTTATTATTGTTTATTTTGTGTTCTCACCTTTATTTGTTTGTGTTTTGTGAGCTGCGCTGTGTGGTTCTGGGTTTCTCTGCAGGTTTTAAAGTGATTCATAAATAAAGTTGGATTGGATCCTGAGTGACGAACGCGTTCTAATGAGAGATTATATTTGTAAATCAATTCATTTTAAACGTCTCATTTCAAAAGAAATGTTCGTATGAATTAAAAATAATATTTACTTTACACTTTATTGACTTTATAACTGTATTTTTTACATTATTGTTTTATTTTTTTTGAAATGTAATCATGATTCAAGGCTTCTTTTAAATTCCCTTTTTATGTTTGTATTTTTCAATATTTGACCTTTCATTTTATTAATATATATATCCTCCTCACACACGTTTTATTCAGAGGAAACATTAAACACAGGGTCCTGCCATGAGTGGCCGGTACTCTGACTTAAAGTACTGCAGTATTTGATGTACTGACTGGAAGATGGTGTTGGTGTCCAGGTCCACACACACCACGTCGGTGGGGGGGTCCTCCAGGTCGAAGTAGCTGGAGTGGACGCCCACGATGAAGGGCATCGGAGCCAGCAGCACGGCCGCCATCTGCAGCGGGCAGAGAGGGATGTAGGGACAGATCCAGCGCAGCGGGAAGCTCATCTGCAGAGAGATGGGACGTTATTAACATCTGGGGAGGGACGGGACGTTATTAACATCTGCAGAGAGACGGGACGTTATTAACATCTGCTGAGAGACGGGACGTTATTAACATCTGGGGAGAGACGGGACGTTATTAACATCTGCAGAGAGACGGGACGTTATTAACATCTGGGGAGAGACGGGACGTTATTAACATCTGCAGAGAGACAGGACGTTATTAACATCTGGGGAGGGACGGGACGTTATTAACATCTGCAGAGAGACGGGACGTTATTAACATCTGCTGAGAGACGGGACGTTATTAACATCTGGGGAGAGACGGGACGTTATTAACATCTGGGGAGAGACGGGACGTTATTAACATCTGCAGAGAGACGGGACGTTATTAACATCTGGGGAGGGACGGGACGTTATTAACATCTGCAGAGAGACGGGACGTTATTAACATCTGCTGAGAGACGGGACGTTATTAACATCTGGGAGAGACGGGACGTTATTAACATCTGGGGAGAGACGGGACGTTATTAACATCTGCAGAGAGACGGGACGTTATTAACATCTGCTGAGAGACGGGACGTTATTAACATCTGGGGAGAGACGGGACGTTATTAACATCTGGGGAGAGACGGGACGTTATTAACATCTGGGGAGAGACGGGACGTTATTAACATCTGGGGAGAGACGGGACGTTATTAACATCTGCTGAGAGACGGGACGTTATTAACATCTGGGGAGAGACGGGACGTTATTTACATCTGGGGAGAGACGGGACGTTATTAACATCTGGGGAGAGACGGGACGTTATTAACATCTGGGGAGAGACGGGACGTTATTAACATCTGGGGAGAGACGGGACGTTATTAACATCTGGGGAGAGACGGGACGTTATTAACATCTGCTGAGAGACGGGACGTTATTAACATCTGCACAGAGACGGGACGTTATTAACATCTGCACAGAGACGGGACGTTATTAACATCTGGGGAGAGACGGGACGTTATTAACATCTGCAGAGAGACGGGACGTTATTAACATCTGCACAGAGACGGGACGTTATTAACATCTGCACAGAGACGGGACGTTATTAACATCTGGGGAGAGACGGGACGTTATTAACATCTGCAGAGAGACGGGACGTTATTAACATCTGCAGAGAGACGGGACGTTATTAACATCTGGGGAGAGACGGGACGTTATTAACATCTGGGGAGAGACGGGACGTTATTAACATCTGGGGAGAGACGGGACGTTATTAACATCTGCAGAGAGACAGGACGTTATTAACATCTGCAGAGAGACGGGACGTTATTAACATCTGCAGAGAGACGGGACGTTATTAACATCTGCAGAGAGACGGGACGTTATTAACATCTGCGGAGAGACGGGACGTTATTAACATCTGGGGAGAGACGGGACGTTATTAACATCTGCAGAGAGACGGGACGTTATTAACATCTGCAGAGAGACGGGACGTTATTAACATCTGCAGAGAGACGGGACGTTATTAACATCTGCGGAGAGACAGGACGTTATTAACATCTGGGGAGAGACGGGACGTTATTAACATCTGCAGAGAGACGGGACGTTATTAACATCTGCAGAGAGACGGGACGTTATTAACATCTGCAGAGAGACGGGACGTTATTAACATCTGCGGAGAGACAGGACGTTATTAACATCTGGGGAGAGACAGGACGTTATTAACATCTGGGGAGAGACCACCAGTAATCCAGCTCACACTGTCAGCTCCTCGAGCCTCAAAGGGCGGAGCAGCGAGACCCGCAACGTCCCGCCAACACGGCACCCAGACCCCACGCAGCATTCTCATCTGCTTGTCATTACTGGTGTCATTTCCTGGTTGCTAACAAACGCCATTGTAACACATAAACACTGATGTTCCGCTGTAACGGTGGTGGACTCATCAGAACAGAGTGGGCGAGCTGACCAATCAGAGCACATTGGGCTCACAGGGAGGGGGGGGCAGGAGCTCCAACAAGCCGTTTAGGACAGAGAGTGAACACACATACTATACGGAGATGCTGTATGAGAAACCAATGTGAGTTTGGAACATTGAACAATGTGAATCTATTCTAGTAGAACTCAACAATGGAATTATGATCAGCAGAAATGGCCGTGACATGGGACCTTTAACATCTGCAGACAGACGGGACGTTATTCACTTCAGAATCAGTATCAATATCTGAGACCTATAGTACACTGATGAAATACAGTATAATATGGGACCTTTAAAGGCTGCGTCAGCGTTCAGCTCGATGCAAGGCTGATTTAAGACGTTTTTAAAGAGGCCCTATTCTGCTATTCTTCCTGTAGTGTGTATAGGTTTGTGTGCATGTAAATGGTCTGTGAGTGTGTGTGTGTGTGTGTGTGGTGTGTGTGGTGTGTGTGTGTGGGGTGTGTGTGTGTGTGTGTGGTGTGTGTGTGTGTGTGTGTGTGTGTCTGTGAGTGAGTGAGTGTCTGTGAGTGAGTGAGTGAGTGTGTGTCTGTGAGTGTGTGTGTGTGTGTGTGTGTGTGTGTGTGTGTGTGTGTGTGTGTGTGTCTGTGAGTGAGTGAGTGAGTGAGTGAGTGTGTGTGTCTGTGAGTGAGTGAGTGAGTGAGTGAGTGAGTGAGTGAGTGAGTGAGTGAGTGAGTGAGTGAGTGAGTGAGTGAGTGTGTGTGTGTGTGTGTGTGTGTGTCTGTGTTTGTGTGTGTGTGTGTGTGTGTGTCTGTGAGTGAGTGAGTGAGTGAGTGAGTGAGTGAGTGAGTGAGTGAGTGAGTGTGTGTGGTGTGTCTCACGGAGACAAGGGCCTCGCTGACGGAGGTGAGCACGTCAGGCCTCAGAGAGTGCAGCAGCAGCTTGTGTTCGGTGAGGACGGCCAGCAGCAGAGTGCAGGCGTTCTCCGGACCGAGGTTCTGCAGCAGCTTCAGGAAACTCGCCCCACTACACACACACACACACACACACACACACACACACACACATTGATACCATTATAACTGGCTCTGTGATAACATTCATCATTATTACAAATTATGAATAAAAACAAAGTAAGCTTCTTTAAAATATGTATACAATTGTAATACAGATCACACACACACAGAGACTATGTGTACTTTGCTTGTGTACTTGTTGTGTACTAGTACTGCAGTGAAAGTACCTGAGGGGTATCGGAGAGGAGACGGGCTGGCAGAGAACCAGGTTATCATAGGGAGACAGCTGTGAAGAAACACACGTTAAATCACTGCTAATCTCACACACACACACACACACACACACACACACACACACACACACACACACACACACACACACACACACACACACACACACACACACACACACACACACACACACACACACACACACACACACACACACACACACACACACACACACACACACACACACACACACACACACACACACACACACACACACACACACACACACACACACACACACACACACACACACACACACACACACACACACACACACACACACACACACACACACACACACACACACACACACACACACACACCACCTGAGAGATCAGCAGTTAAGTATTTAGTCATTTGAAGAATCAATTATTTTTGCTCATTGAAATCAATGAAACGACTGCTCTGCTCTGATTGGACACAATAACCCAGGTCGGGTCGTGGTCTACGGGGAACGAGGAACAATCAGAGACATTCAAACACAGGTTTAAGGTTTGGAGCGTTTACCTGAACGAGGATGCGAGGCCGCTGCGGGGAAGGGAACGGGACGTTGTGCATGAAGCTGGAGATGTGTCTGCAAGGATAAAGAAAAATACCATGAATAAATATCCTTCACATGCTAAATGTTAAAGATCTCCTATCAAGCTATATTTAGGCATATTTTATGGGTCTCAGATATATACAAATATATAAAAAACATCTGTGACGTGTTTTGCTCAAAATACCAAACATCCCTCACATCCCTCTGTTTCAGGCCTGTTGCTAAAGGGCTGATTCTGGGTCCTTAGAAAGAGGACTCAGATACTCAGCTAAATGCTGCCGTGATTAAACTCCATATCATGTTCCAAACCACATGAAGGATTCTTCCTGAAACAGTATGGTTACGGCCGCCGCCTCCTCTCTGCCCATTAGCCTGTCTCTAAGTGTTTGCAGCTGTGTGTTGTTTATGTATATGAGCTGTGCCGTTGCCCTGACGCCATTGGATGCCGGCTTCCTGTCCCTCCCCCGGTAGGCGTGACCGAAGATCTGGATTGGAGCACGCCGGGCCCGACTCTCCAATCCCCGCACACACCTTCCGGGGACAGATACAAGACTGTGTGCACCTCAGTTAGTCGAGAGGTCTGCATCTGTGGCAGACGTCTCTCGGTACATTCTGTGTTAGTTCTGTTAACAGTGGTCAGCTAGGTTGGTGGTCCTTTTGTTTTGATTGAGGCTGCTTGTTGCCAATGTTATTGCGCACTTTCATTAAACAACTTCCTATTATTTCAACTGGTTATATGTTATTTTCCACTTTCCACGAACCGGGACGTCACAGTACGGAGCTCAAACTCTCTCTCTCTCAGGTTTACCACACGGTGAGTTCCTTTTGATTTCCTGCTTCTTCACACATGCTCTCTCCAGTACAGGTTAGCTCTGAGTGCTAGCATGCTAATGTAAACACAGACCATATTACGTCCTAAACAGTCGGGCATTGTTTCTGATAGCAACGTTTCTGATTGGATATTACGTCATATCGGACGCAAATCTGGATCAGCTCCGTTGTTCCCCCGTTTTTAGAGATGTGGGTACGGAGGAAAAGAGAGAGGGTTTTATTTTCTGACGCTGCGTGAGTCTCCCGTCACACCGGGGACACATAGTGATGTATAAAGGACATTAAAAAGTACACTTTGCATGATAGGAGAGCTTTAAGATGTGACTGAGTGTGAAAGATAAGCGGCACTGACTTCTCGAGCGGCAGCACGTGGGGTCCGGAGATGGAGTATCTGTAGACGAAGGTGAGAAACTTCTGGAAGACGGTGAAGAAGGGCCAGTGTGAGAGGACGCAGATGCTCTTCTTCACCTGCAGGCTGCGGCTGCTGATTGGCCGACGGTCGACGACGCTCAGCAGTCCGAGGCGAACGCTCTGCCGCTCCGACAGCAGGTCGCGGGAGAACGACTCGTAGAACTGGATCGCTGCGCCGTACACCTGCAGCGGGGGTGAGAAATGCACTCATTTAGATTATATTCAAGGTTACAGGCTTTTCTGGTCATGTGTTCAGAGCTACAGTGAAGATCTGAGGCCACAGGCTCCTCCCACTGAGCAACACAATAACACAGATACAAGAGTGCAAGTCAAATACAAATATAATAGAAATAGTGCAAGAGTAGTCTATATACAAGTCATTGGAATATGATATTTATTTTTATATTCACTGATTTTGCAAATGCGAGATAAGATGGAACTTTATTAATTTGTTGAAAATGTTCACATCATTTTCTGATAGGTTTCAGATATTTTTGACCAATTTTTATACATTTTCTTCGACAACTTTCACACATATTCCTGTTACCTTTTGTTGATCATTTTCACATAATTCTCTGATATTTCAGACACATTATTTTATGATCTTTGGGGGAAATCATCACATATATTTGATGATCACATATACCAGTTACCTTTTGGCTAATTTGTTGAAAATGTTCACATAATTTTCTAGATATTTTTGACCAATCTTCTTGGACAACTTTCACACATATTTCTGTTACCTTTTGGGTATTTTCTGTAAAAAATATTCACATAATTCTCTGAATGCTTACAGACAAATTGACCGATTTAATATTATTTTACGGACAATTTTTCACACATATTCCTGTCACCTTCTGGGTTCTTTTGTTGAACATTTTCACATCGTTTTCTGATATTTTCCAGACATTTTTGACCAATCTTTATACATTTTGGGTATTTTCTGGAAAGAATTCACATTTTTTCAGACGTTTCTGACAAATTGTATTAATTTAATATTTTTTATTTATAATTTCACATTTACTTCAGACACCTTTTGGCAATAAAAAAAAAAAAAAAAATTGTTAATAAAATGTGTCAAATCTGAAAATAATGTTATGAAGTTTTGAATATTTCTAAATTAAATGTTCACACATATTCCAGTCACCCTTTGGATATTCTATTGAAAATGTTCACCTAATTTTCAGATATTTTCGAGACATTTTGACCAATTTAAATAATAGTTTGGGAAATTTTTCATTTATATTTTCACATTTATTTCAGACACCTCTTGGGTTTTTTCTGTAAAATGTCCACATGACGTTCAGATAATTTCTTATAATATTTCGTGTGCGTGTGCGTGTGCGTGTGTGTGTGTGTGTGTGTGTGTGTGTGTGTGTGTGTGTGTGTGTGTGTGTGTGCCCACCTTGTCCCCGCAGGCGGAGGTGAGCACGAAGGTGGAGAACACGGGCAGCTGGTACTTGGTGTTGAGAGGCCAGCTCTCCACGGTGACGCCCATCGGCAGACAGAACACCGGCACCGACTCAGGGAGAGGGAACGCCTCGAGGTCCTCCTGAGGGTACCGGCTGAGCAGACCTGAGATCAGATATAACTCTAAATCAGCCTTTAGTTCCACCTGGAGTAAATCCACAAGCTACCCTGCAGTATACAAAGTCATTCAAACTAGCTGCACCTTTACCAGCTTTGAGAACACTTTCATGATCAATCATTATAAAACATATCATATATATTATTCTGAAATGGACCAATCTGCACAATGACTACTTTTACTGTCGCTACTTTCACTATATTTTGATGAGAATACTTTTCTACTTTCACTTGAGGAACATTTTGAATGCAGGACTTTTACTGCAACAGAGTATTCCTACACTCTGGTACTTCTACTTTTACTCAAGTACAAGATCTGAGTACTTCTACTTTTACTCAAGTACAAGACCTGAGTACTTCTACTTTTACTCAAGTACAAGATCTGAATACTTCTACTTTTACTCAAGTACAAGATCTGAGTACTTCTACTTTTACTCAAGTACAAGATCTGAGTACTTCTACTTTTACTCAAGAACAAGATCTGAGTACTTCTACTTTTACTCAAGTACAAGATCTGAGTACTTCTACTTTTACTCAAGTACAAGATCTAAGTACTTCTACTTTTACTCAAGAACAAGACCTGAGTACTTCTACTTTTACTCAAGTACAAGATCTGAGTACTTCTACTTTTACTCAAGAACAAGACCTGAGTACTTCTACTTTTACTCAAGTACAAGATCTGAGTACTTCTACTTTTACTCAAGTACAAGACCTGAGTACTTCTACTTTTACTCAAGTACAAGACCTGAGTACTTCTACTTTTACTCAAGTACAAGACCTGAGTACTTCTACCTCCTCTGGATAGGATTACTTCGTCATGTTTAAACGAGCCGTTGCACATAATGTGAAAATAAAGTAGAAATCAAACAGAACTAAAGAGTACAAATATATAAAAAACGGTGAAATCTGTCAAAAAAAACAATGAAGGAGTTACAGCTAACACAATTGAAAGTAGGATATTAACATTAAGTGTGTTAGCATATTGAACACAATATAAATGTAAAATGTATAATCTGTATATATATACTTTTTTTTTACTTAATTCTATTTTTCTCGTATATTTATGACTTTTTGGGAATTTTTCAGTTCGTTTTTTTCAAATATTTTGGAAAAATATATATAATTTCTATTTTTCACACACTTATATTTTCCTAAATAAGTAACAGAGGATTTTATTATATCCAAGAAACAAAAAAATGCATTATTTATTGTTATTATTAATTTATAAAACATATGTATAGTTTCTTTTACTTTAATTATTCTCATATATGTAATAATTGAATTAATTGCAGTTTTTCTCTCCACTGTGACCTCAGCAGTAATCTCAGAGAATAACGGATTTCTATAATGTGTGAATATTTCAGAATCACTCCCGCCCACTTTTGGGGGAAAACAACGCTTTCATTTGAACGGCGGTCAATAGAAATTCAGAAGTTTTTGCCAATCCGATCAGAAATGTTTGAAAACCATGTGCTCTGTGGCTTCAGGCTCGATCGCCGTTCAAATGACAGTTTTGTTTTCCCCCAAAAGTGGGCGGGGCCGTAATTTGACGCATGTGTTACTCTCATGTATAATAACTTAGAACAGACTGTTGTTCAAATAAACCACATGTCTCTCTCTTCTCTCTGTTTCCTGTGTGCAGAGATACTCACTGGCTTCGTACAGCAGGGCGTTGGCTTTGGCCACGGCTCGCTTGTAGCACACGTAGAGAGCCGGACCCCACTGCACACACACACACACACACACACACATCATGTTAACAAGAAAACATACATATAACACACACTTTATTAATGTAAGACCTTTAAAACACACATACAGTCATTTCCAACCAAAACAGAGAGAATAAAACAAACTAAAAACCAGCAACTAAAACATCGTAAAACCAATTAATGAGGTTTTATTTTTGCTTTATTTCTAATCACATTAATTAAATATCTATATAAATGCAGCGGTCTAAGACAGTCTAACCGCACGTGATTTGAGAATGAATCAAGATTGAGGAAGATTGTATTCCTAATTTCTCAGTTTTTTTACTTTTTAGTAGTTTTGGAGAAATGCTCAAATAAATTGACCCCCACTGCGTTCATAGGAGCTCAGACCCTCCTTATGAGAGCTCAGACCCCTCCTTATGAGAGCTCAGACCCCTCCTTATTGGCTCCCACATAACTCCAACCCTGGTTAAGACCCTCTACCCTCCACAGACACTCACCATGCATTCAAATAAATAAATTAGCAAATTAAAACACAAATATCCACCAGTTTCACAAACAGTTAACTAAATGTATGAATTGGCCAATAACCACTTCTGTCTGTTGAATTGTAATCAGATTAGTCACTGAAGTACAGGTACCCCTACTAAGACCCTATAAAGTGATAAAGTAACTATTGAAACAGGATATCACAGTAAAGAGTTGAGCATTAGTATGAACATGTTATATATACATATACTAAGCCCCTCCCCCACGCAGACGCTCACCATGCCGGTGTTGAGGTTCTTGTCCACGCGGCAGAAGGTGTGCGGGGCGACCTCTGCCTTGCCGGGCAGCAGCAGGGCGATGTCGGTGACGCCCAGCGTGTGGAGGCCCTGAGAGTCCAGCGCCCGGCGGTACATCAGGAACACCCGGTGCGCCGCGGGGCCCCCCCCCGAGCTCAGGGACGCAGAGCGGCTGTAGGGCGTCGTCTCGATCACGAACCAGCCCGGCTTCAGCTGCTCCTTCCCCTCATACAGCACCCTGAGGGCATTCAGAGCTCAGTCAGTCTCAACCAATCAGCACTCAGTCAGTCTCAACCAATCAGCACTCAGTCAGTCTCAACCAATCAGCACTCAGTCAGTCTCACCAACAAAATAAAACAGAACTAAAGAGCAAAATATATAAAAGTCGACAGTTGTGAAATCTGTCAAATAAGTTACAGTTAACATTTTACGTCTGTTCGGGGACTTGAACCTGCGACTCGGCTCACAGTCCAAGCCCCTACTGACTGAGCCACTGCCGGACCTTTTTAGTGAGCCCTTCTGGTTATTTCCCAAACTGCAGTCAGGTATTAATTCTAGTTCCCGTGTGACAGGAAGTCCGTTGAGTGATTCTGAACGGGCTCCAGTGAAGCTGACCTTCATCCAGCCTTCACTCGTAGAGACCTTTTTATCTTCAGGTGATCTATCTGCAAGGGATCCATTTCATATTTACTAACTGAGACATGCAGCTAATAAACAACAATAGAAGGGTCGTCCCCCCCCCAGAGAGAGAATCAGGGAGTGTGTCTGACCCGAGGTCGAGGATGGGGGGCTTGTCCCGCCCCCGCCGGTAGCACAGGTACAGGTGAGGGTTGTTGATGATGCCGGCGCTCAGCTCCGCGCTGTGTCCTCCCAGAGTCCTCTCAATGCAGGTGAAGCCCTCCGGCACCTCCTCCCCGAGACCCCGCGCGATCACCGCCAGGTCCGTCACCGACTCCACCGCCCGGCCCGAGGAAGAGGAGGAGGAGGTGGAGGAGGAGGAGGAAGAGGAGGTCTTCCCGTCCTCGTCCAGCGGCTTCCAAGCCCCCCCAGGGTCCAGACCCGCCACCACAAAGTAGTCCACCAGCTGCGGACATTTCTCCTCCGTCATGCCGCCGCTCTGCGCTCCACTGCACACACAGAGAGAAGGCTTTATTCACCCAGAAGGAAACACAATGAACACAGCAGCACAATAGGCCAAGTCAATCTTTCAGTTTGTGAGAAATGACGTTTCCAACAATCCCAAATACATGTATACCATATTAATAATAGTGATTGATATTGCACATAGTGGTGCTGTGGAAGTTCTCAGAGAGAGGTTAATAACTCAAAGAAGATATCTTTACACCACGGCTCAAATGTAATTGTTTTGTTAATATAATCCTTCTTATTTTGGTCTTGATTTTATATTTATTGTATTTATCAAATCTGTCTTATTTCAGTTTTGTAGGATGGTCAATGGACCGTACTTATTGTGCTTTAAACACGGCAGCATAATAATACAACTGTAAACTAACAGTGCAGCAAAAAGAGCATTTAAATATAAGTAAACACTAAAGGGAACAGCAGAAGAAGACGGGAAGTAAACACTAAAGGGAACAGCAGAAGAAGACGGGAAGTAAACACTAAAGGGAACAGCAGAAGAAGAAGACAGGAAGTAAACACTAAAAGGAACAGCAGAAGAAGACGGGAAGTAAACACTAAAGGGAACAGCAGAAGAAGACGGGAAGTAAACACTAAAGGGAACAGCAGAAGAAGACGGGAAGTAAACACTAAAGGGAACAGCAGAAGAAGACAGACAGGAAGTAAACACTAAAGGGAACAGCAGAAGAAGACAGGAAGTAAACACTAAAGGGAACAGCAGAAGAAGACGGGAAGTAAACACTAAAGGGAACAGCAGGAGAAGACGGGAAGTAAACACTAAAGGGAACAGCAGAAGAAGACAGGAAGTAAACACTAAAGGGAACAGCAGAAGAAGACAGGAAGTAAACACTAAAGGGAACAGCAGAAGAAGACGGGAAGTAAACACTAAAGGGAACAGCAGGAGAAGACGGGAAGTAAACACTAAAGGGAACAGCAGAAGAAGACGGGAAGTAAACACTAAAGGGAACAGCAGAAGAAGACGGGAAGTAAACACTAAAGGGAACAGCAGAAGAAGAAGACAGGAAGTAAACACTAAAGGGAACAGCAGAAGAAGAAGACAGGAAGTAAACACTAAAGGGAACAGCAGAAGAAGACGGGAAGTAAACACTAAAGGGAACAGCAGAAGAAGACAGGAAGTAAACACTAAAGGGAACAGCAGAAGAAGACAGGAAGTAAACACTAAAGGGAACAGCAGAAGAAGACGGACTGAAGGGAACAGCAGAAGAAGACGGACTGAAGGGAACACAGGGGACTCTGCAGAGTTTAAACGCTGGTTCATGGAAGGTAGAACTGGACTTGGGCGGTTAGAGAAACCCTCGATCAGAGCTGCCGTCATTTTAAGCTACGTTGCCGTCGCAGCACTTCCAGACGTTGGTGCGCACGGACTATTTCTTTCAAAAGCGGAAGCAATATGATCATTTTCAAATATTTTTAAATCCTTATTGCGAGTCAAGTCTTTGGTTTATTCAGTGTGAAGCCGCGCTCACTGTGTCGCCTCACATTATCCCTGACTCATTCATCCACGTGCACTGCCCTTGAAGTTCACTGAAATGAAACTGAGAGGGACGAGAGACACTGAAGATACACAGCAGCTGCACTAACACACACACACACACACACACACACACACACACACACACACACACACACACACACACACACACACACACACACACACACACACACACACACACACACACACACACACACACACACACACACACACACACACACACACACACAGCCTTAGAGTAGGTCAAAGTCCTGCATCTCATCAGCCAATCAGAGAAGAGACGGACAGCCTGCATCGCCCCTTTAATATCTGACTAAATTCTAACTACATTTTTAGAACTATGGTTCATTTCTTACCAATACTCTTAACATACATTTTCCATTTAGCGCTGAAGCGAATGTATTTATTGTTTACATCCAGCAGCTTTGTGTGTCTGGTGTCATGACCTTTAAAATGTTTTATAAAATCCTACATTTAAAGGATTTTATGTTTTATAAAATGTATTCAGTAACTCTTCAGTGAAAATTGTGTTTTCCACTTTTTTCAATAAATGTCGACTTTTGGGATTCACAGCGCTCTGGAGGTATTGGAACAATGAGTCAGACACAATCCTACGCACTCACAGATTGAATATAATTCAGCTTATTATATAATAGTGCTGCAGATAGCTGTACAAATCTTTCAAAATCCGATTCAGGCACCAACTTCTCCATGTTTATCCTCATGTACACTAAATTACACTCAATGCTGTGGGCAGTCCCCTCAGGAGCAGTTTGGGGTGAAGTGGCTTGAGTGTTATTTAAAAAAAAAGCTCGTTAGACACTTGAATTCTCTAAATTGCGCCCAAGGTGGACTAACTATCACCGCAGCCACGAAAAGCGTATTTATATCCAAGAGATAAAGATATTAATCACAGAGGTGATAAAGAGACACAGAGAGACTGGTTATGGTGGAGTTTGTTGACAAAATCAATATGTGATTAAACTGTGTGTGTGTGTGTGTGTGTGTGTGTGTGTGTGTGTGTGTGTGTGTGTGTGTGTGTGTGTGTGTGTGTGTGTGTGTGTGTGTGTGTGTGTGTGTGTCATGATGCAGTGAGATGCTGAAAGCTCTCTTATGTAACACTGAGTGTCTCTCCCTCCTTCCTCTGAACAACCCGGGGACGGAGAATGAATCATGAATCATATAAACGTGGAAGACCCTTCAGATATCTTTAAATCACCTCCTTATTCTGGTCTTGATTTTGTATTTATTTAATTCTAAAATGGGCTGCACTTATATAGCGCTTTATCAGGTCTGTTCGACCCCTCAAAGCTCTTTACATACGAGTCATTCACACCTAATTCATGCAGAGCAGCCACACACACACACACACACACACACACACACACACACACACACACACACACACACACACACACACACACACACACACACACACACACACACACACACACACACACACACACACACACACACACACACACACACACACACCACACACACACACACACACACACACACACACACACACACACACACACACACACACACACACACACTTTATGTGAACAACCCGATGTGTGTTCTTTGGACCTGAAAAGGAGATGGCTTTGTTTTTGTTACTTTCATTGCAATTGTATACATGTCTTAACTTCCTGTTTTATATACGACCATCTTTCGGAGGGATATGCTACAGTTTATATATCATTTTAAAAAGTTGATATAATAAAATATCGATACTTGGCGTCCGTGTATCGATACAATATCGCCACGCAAAGTATCGCGATACTATGCTGTATCGATTATTTCCCCCACCCCTAATGTACTATGTATTGATTATGTAACCTGTCCAATAAGGTGATTTGTATTTCTACAATTGGTTTGAACACGTCACAACGGCACAACACGCATTTGCACACACACACACACACACACACACACACACACACACACACACACACACACACACACACACACACACACACACACACACACACACACACACACACACACACACACACACACACACACACACACACACACACACACACACACACACACACACACACACACACACACACACACACACACACACACACACACACCAGTATCATCGACTGCACGGGCTGGGATCGAACAAACAACCTTCTTTCTCGTTGAAAGACGACGGCACTCACTCATATATATTTGTTTGTATATTTGTGATTGTGGGAAACAGTATTTCGATCTCTCTGTACACACAAACTGGAAGATTGACAATAAAGTTGACTTTGACTCCCCTCGCAGCCACAGTCGCCGCTTTTTAGTTCTACGTAGTTTTTTTATTTTTTGTGTTTAAAAATGTGATTACATTTATTTTGTATTTATATATTCCCCCCTTATTTTGGTCTTCATTTTTTTATTTTCTATTTTTTATAATTATTTCAATTTGTTATAATAAAAATATTTTTTTTATTAATATTATTATTTTTATTATAATTATTTTTTGTTAATTATTATGATTTCACTTCTAAGGCGGTTATTTATTTTATTATTATTTTTGATTGTTTTAGTGTATTTATTAAATATGCCTTATTTTTGTCTACATTTGACTGATTGTGTTATCTGTTGTTTACCTACTATTTTATTTTAGTTTTGTGTGCCAACATGTTAAAGCATTTCTAGCTGCATCCTGTGAATCAAAAGTGCTGCACAAATGCTGCTGGTGACTTATCCGAGCGGCCCACATCGTCCGACCGGCCCACTTCAGTACCGGCCCATCGGGATTCGCGCCGAACGTCCCGATGGCCAGTCCGCCCCTGCTCACAGTATTGACTTGCATTAATCTCTACACTTCCAGTACAGCGTGCCACGGCTGGCTCAGATTACCGCTGCATCATGGGTAAATCCCTGCCGCTGACACGGGCTGAATTAAAAACTAAATTTAAACAGGAGTCGTTCTGTTCGATTCGCTCTGCAGACAGCAAAGACTTCTAGAACCGTGCAAACACAGGATAACATAACTCAAAGTGCACAGGCTCTACGGCCTTTTGTCCACGTAGCGTCTGTTTCTGGCAAACAGACATAATGTTATGAATGAGCGAGCTGCCTGTGGCAAGATGGCCGCCATGTTGCAACGTCGGTCTCCATTGGCCAGCAGCGCGGGTGAGTCATCTAGTGTTTATATATATCTATGAGCCGAACAACCAGCCGAACAACCAACCAACAAAACAACCAACACACTATTCAATCAACCAATCATTCAACCAACTATTCAACCAACCAACCAGCCGAACAACCAAACAACAAACTATTCAATCAACCAACCAACCATTCAACCAACCAAACAACCAACTAACCAACCAACAAAACAACCAACACACTATTCAATCAACCAACCAACTATTCAACCAACCAACCAAACAACCAGCCGAACAACCAACCAACAAACTATTCAATCAACCAACAAACTATTCAACCAACCAACCAACCAAC